AAGGTACGAACAGCTGAATAAGTTATTGAGTATGGCATTCTTAAACAGCTTTGAGTAGATTTTAATTGGTGAAAATAGAATTTCAATCGCATTTGATTTTAAGAGTTGATTCTGCAACATCTCTCAATTGTTTCTGCCTCACTTCTACTCTGTTGAATGAACCTAATTATAAAATCCTTTTTTTTAAATTTTATCTTTGAAATGGAAATCTTGATGTTATTTAATATATTTTCTTATAAAGATAAATTCCAAAAAGGACAATTAATGTTACAATTTCCATTTCAATCGTTTGATGATGATTATTTTCTAAAAGAGAAGATGAAGTTGGAGAAGACGATCAATGATAATTCAACTTGTAAGAAAATATGTTGATCATGTGACGACGAAAAGAAAGATGCGAGTGTTTATAAAACCGAAGCCTCATCTGCACTATCTATCACATATATGATAATGACCGAAACCAGAAAACATCATTTGAGCATCAACTATAGTAATTAGGTCGTGACTTATGTGCAATGCCTGTTAAACATGTCTCATCGACGCTACTCAATTACTCGTTTTCTGAATATATACTTTTTGGTAGACAGATTGAAGAAACTGTCTTCATTTTCTCAAACTCATTTCCATCGTCAATGCAGAATATTACTCGTTTTGTAGTTTCATCTGCAACCAATACATCTTGTGAGTATGTTGATGTGGCTTACTCTTCCATCAATGGACTCGCGTATGATGCAACTTAGGCGTTAGCCATATCAATCTACTTTATTCGCATAAGTCTCTCCATGTAACTATTTCTTTGAAATGGAAAAGAAGCAGAAAAATAAGTCATTATTATGGTGTCTTGTTGATGTGTTCTATTTTTTTTTCAAACTAGCTTTATTCGTATAATTAATGATGGAATAATACACAAATAATATTAGGATGCAATCATCATCAAGCAATCTACTTAAGTGAAATCTTTATTGTACTTAATATGAGTTTCAAACGCAGAAAAATTTAACTTGCTCATGTATGTATCATTTTTTCATATCAATATTAACTTCAAATGTTGTTAAAACTAGAACATCATATTCAAGAGATCTGTTACATTTTCGGCAACACTTGACATCGCCTAAACTTTTTTAATTTTATTTTTTTTGAATAATTTGAATAATACCTATTTAAAAAAGTAGCATATAAATTTTAAAAATGAAAGATTAAGTATAAAAGTGAAATATATCAACATCCAGAAATTGAAAATTCAAGGAACTCATAGGACTTAAAGAAATCAAGTTGAATTTAGTTTTCAGAATACTGACATTGTGATTGTATATACTAGTCTTCGTAACAACTTCAATGGAGTTGTATCCCTATTTTTCGAGCCACTCTTATTGTAGAATGCCTTGAATTCTATGAAGTTCTCAAATTCTATCTCAATAAACGTACAATACTCATCAAGATAAGATCATCGTATAAAAATCCTATTTTATATTGATTCAGAAACCATATAGATGACAATGTCGCTATTGCGAATTTCAGAAATTCAGTTTCTCTTTATCATTATTGTCTTCATCGTCATCTTCGACCAGCTTAACTTCGATCTCCCATTTACATCCGTATTGATGTACACTGATAATTTTCAATTTCGTTCCCACAGCCAAAAGCGCTTCTTTTTCTTCGCCAACAGCACTCCATTTCCAAATATTAGCCACATTCTTCTTCGCTCTTTCAGTACTCATATCTGTTCGTAAGATCATCACAGCATTGCCCGCATATATCAACAATCGATCTGTCGTGAATGACCAGAACGAATTTGTATAGATACACTCATGTCGTTTCTCTTGATAGAAGACGATTTCCGTATCACTCAGTGTCAATCCTCGATAGTACACTTGACGAATATTTGATTGCTTTAGACCTCGAATCAATGAACGCAGTTTGTTGACATAGATCCAATCGATATGTTCAATGTCACCACTAAGCAAATTCAAGTTCGTTTTCATGTAACATTCGTTCGTTCGACTGTCGGTGTATGAATGAAGAACGTCAAGCATGTCATCCGTCAATTTATCTTCATCAATATCCGATGGATAAATTTGTCGTAAGAACGAACGATAAGGATTGAAACTGAAGAGTTTACAGTTGATAGTATTGGCCGAATGATCATAGGAGAAGTAGGTGGTATCGAAGTCGTTACTAGCCGCACAGATTGTGTTCGGTAAATAACGGCTTGTTCGTACATCAACAACACATTTTCTCATGTTGCAAAATTAGATTGGTTGGATAGAAAAAATGCAGACATTAACGTATCATTTGACACGTTTTCTTTTTTCTTGCAGTCGTGTTGGGAAACATAGAGAAAGAAAAAAAAAACAACCGTATGACTCATTGTTATTCCTATGAAGTAATAAGTACCTTAAAAAAATACTATAAAACAAATCGATTTTCATCAATTCTTTTGTTGACAGCAATGAGTTTCATTTCTAGCAGTAAGTCAAAGGTGTCCAAGCAGGAAGGAATTTCGTAAAATGCATGTGAACACCCTAATTACGGTTCTCATTTGAACATTGACATGCTCATTCAGAAAATGCCATACAGGTTTTCTCAACATATGTTTCACAGGATATTAAGCATAAAAAAAAGTAATTTTTATCTAAAAAAACAATTCAAAATAGCGAGAATTTTTTTTCATATTTTCTACCAGGAAAAGCTACCTTTCTCAGCGACCGCACGCACATTTTATGATGAAAGTAACTAATATTGCTGAAAGATTCAAACGAGAACTTTGATTATGGCGTTTCAATGATTTTTCATAAGTTCCTGTCTGTCTGGGCGAATTTTAAAATTGACAAGTAAAAAATGCAGTAGTATGTACGAATACGATTTTATCCAGAATAAATTTATACCTGAAAATAGTTCGATCATGGGAATATGTCTTTCGAGCTTTTCTCTGTAAGATCATAGGTAGATGGCGACAGTGTCGTTTTACAATGGCTCGTTTCCATTTCATGATTGTTTAACTATTGTAAACTATCCTTTTTCTAACAACAATATGGAGAAAATTTTTCTCAACAATAATTTGACATTTCGCGTCAACATAATACATTAGACAGCAGGTGAATATATTTAGTGTAGTCATAAAAAAGAATTGTACAAATGGGTCTTTTTTCAACGAAAATGGAAGCAAATTGTTTAAGAATATCTTCCATATGATACCTTTTAGTAGTAAAAAAATATGTTTTTTCTCTACAAAAGTCGTTTTATATTCGTATAAACACATTATTTACTTTATCATGGTTACACTATTTTTATTGCATGTTTCTTAGTGAATTCTTTGCCAAAAACTCTAAATATATTTGACTGTGGTTGAGACGTAGGTGTGATTCTTCTTTTGATCTACACCAACATTCACAACCTTTTCAATCACAGCCAAACTTTGAAAAATGTTCTACCTGATAAATATTCGTTTGAAATAGATCATACAGTGAAACTTCAAGATTCAACTAATGTTTTGTCGCACCACTTTGTGAAAAAGAATATAGTAGTAAAACGGCTAAAACAGAAAAAGAACTCAAAAGGGAAGTGGACAGCTGAAATGCTCTGAAGAGTATCTATCAAATCTTTTAAGATTGACTAGAGAACGAATAAAATGGCATGTGATCTATTCTTCATGATTGAATTTGAATCGAGCATCCGACTAATTTTCGAATAGCAATATTTGACCATTACACCTAGTGAAGTGAATATGACAGTTGGTGATACTAATTATCGTAGCGGACTTGAATGTAGAATAGTAAAGATAGAAACTCAAACTCAATACTGATAATGACCAATATTCGTTTGAAATATTTAGTATGTCGAAGCCTCATGGATTATACCATTGTATCCGGTTCTAATGGCAGATTGGGTAGTAGTGCAGTGCGTCTTTTGTAGGATCTCGTAAGTAAAGGTAATGACTTAATGCATTCGGTCTTGACAAGAGTAGACCTTGCTAATGTATTTAAAATATTGAAAGAAGATTCCATTGTAGTGAACTCATTGATTGAGAATTTTATCAAAATTGTGAGTGAAGAAATCAGGTAGGAAACTATAATAGACTGCATATAAGACCTAACATATGACATTTTATTGCTTGTACTTACAAATTCTTGAGTGATTGATCGTAGATTTCTAATGTTTGTTCGTCATACATGAGGACTAAATCTTTATACATACAGATAATCGTTTTATCATAACTTAAAAACGGAATTCATTATTTATATTTAGTCAATTGAAACATAAAAAGGTGTATACAACATCATTTTTGATCATGCATATTGACAACTTTCGATGAAAATGTTCACTTGACCCAATAACACATGCACTGAGACGAAAGAGTAACTGATAAATATCAGTTGTTTTCTTTTTGAAGAACACCCATGATCCCACGAGATTAAAGCAGCGAAAGTTTTGTCTACACAGATATCTCGTAATCCGTATCAGCTCAGTATTCAAAAGATCGAGAAGAAAAAGATAGAATTACGAAATCATTTCGATTCTTTTGACAAAAATCATGAAACTAAATAAATGATAATATAACTTCGATCAATAACCATTGAGTTTGGTAAATGCAAAGAAAAAAAGGCTTCACAATGTAAGCAAAACTATTCTTGCTCATTAGCGACAAATATATTACATTATTCAATCGATAATGAGCATACTAGATATTGTTCATCGCTACATGGGAAAAAATATGTATTTTTTAATGCTTGCATCGATTATTTATTTTCAGTCTTTATATTTTTTGATGTGTCACATGATACATTACAAGAAAAATGAAGAGAACGAAAAGAAAAATCTAATCAGAGTCCCAAAAAAATATATACAGGTATCCATTGGTATATCTTATTTGCGTTGTCTCTCTCTTATTCGTTCTATGCGTTCGATTCTCACTAAGAAGAAATGAATGAATTAAGGCATCATAACACATCGACCGTGACGTGCACATCGTATTTTTCACTAGACGGTAAAGCAGCAAGAGGATGGCTGACGATGAATTTGATCAAGTATCTCAAATTTTGTTTGATGGTGTGGATTCTCTTAGTAATATTGGCTCACCAGGAACTCTCATTCCAATGACAGATAATACACGTACTGTTCTGTGTAGTGAAGACTTCAACAATGTGATCGTTGTGGCCACTCAATTTGGTCACAGTCTATGTTTAGTATTTGCACTTAACGGCTGTACCGAGATTTTTCTTAATGATGAAACCGAAGATCAAGATTTTGTTGAAAATTGTCTACAATGGCTCGCTCGCGGATATGATACTGAATTCGAATCGATCAATGATACAGATTCGATGGATAATGTGGCACGAGCTGGTAAAATACTGATATGGAATGGACGTGAGGCGAAGAATGATTCCTTTATGAGTGATCTGGTACATATAATTGTTTTTTCATTATCGATCTGTTAAATATCAGTGTTTTGTTATAGTGTGCATATTTACAAGATGGAGGTTCTCTGATTTGTGGAGCAACTGCCTGGGGTTGACTAGAACATAACGAAGGTACACTTCTCTCGAATTTCCCATTTGCACGTTTCTGTGACTATATTGGTGTGAAAATTACGGGTAATTGTATTGATTGTCCCGATCCAATTCCTTTTCAACCCGACTTAGTTGCATTTAAAAATGTCTATCACATTGTGCAAAATCTTGTCAACTATTCGGATAGTATCAAATACTTGACCACCGTTGCATTGGCTATCAAAGAGTTCGGTGATACATTGTCTGGTGTACCAGTTGAAACTCTACAGAATACTGTCGTAAATGCTGATAGCGATGTTATTCCATCGATTAATTGTCCAATTCAAGATAGATAGTGTCGAGAACAATCAATAGGTATCTGTAGTATTTTGTGTGTACTACCCGGTATCAAGGCTTCTGGTGAGCAAATGTAAGTCATTTGAGATGCAATGCGTAGAGTACGACTTCTAGGTGTGACGAATTTTCCGCGTGATTTCAATCAACCACCATCGACTGAAACGAATGTTAAGTGCCATATTCAATCAAATTTCAGCGAATGGTTCTCGACAGGTATGAAAGAAGATAATCAAACTGTTGAATGTTCTCCTGCATATACGTCGCAATGTCTTCGCTTTCTCTTAGGATATTATGTGGCTGCAGATATTTCCATCCAGATTGATGTATTAGAACAAGTAGGTGCAACTGGATGCCCAGCGCGAATAGGTTGTCACAGCGATGATCTTGAAGTATGTCTTCTCACGAGAATTGCTTTTATAGCACAATAGAAATATATACTGATTAGAGCTGCGATGAACTTCGTCGATGGTCATGCATTTCTGTCTGCAAATCATTGACTAGCAATCATGTTCGACTGAGTTCAGCTTTTGGTGGCCTTCTTTTCCTTGAAAGTCCTGAAGATGAAATGAACTCTATCACTGTTCATTTGCATCATGTTGTTCTGGCGCCTACATACGATCTCACTGATTCCAATCGAGCGACAACATGGTAATACCGGCATCACTACGCACAAGGTCGTTGGGCAGATATAGCTGGTCGACATATTGTGTTTAATGTTCCTTCGAAGAGTGTACTTCATTTGGATAGTATTCAATTAGATCGAGTTCTTCAGTATTGGGATGCTGTTGTACTTGCTCATCATGAGCTAAGAGGTACAGAACCGACACATCGTGAACGTATTGTATGTGACGAGCAACCTTCACTTGGCTACATGCGTAAGGATATTGAACCCGTAATGAATTTCTTCGCTCTCTGCTGAAGAAGAATGCTTATTTTAGACAGTGGTTATCCTATTGTCACACATATGGATGTATCTGATCCATTCTCTGAAGGGTACATACTAAATAGCAACAAGCTAGAAAAGAATGGTGCATGGGATCTATTTCATGAGATCGGTCATAATATGCAACGAGATTATTGGAGTATGTATGCGATTTGTTGCTACACTTAATCAAATCGATTACAAACATTACATTTAGCATACGATGGTGCTGATGAAGTGACCGTGAATATTTTCACTTTGCATGCGATGGATACTATTTGCCATCATCAAGTATGGATTCATCCTTGGCTCAAGGATCAAATAAAGAATACATGGAAGTATATAAAGAAGGGATCAAGTTTTGATGTCTGGAAAGAGAACCCTGGTGTTGCTCTTTTCATATATGCACAATTGGCACGAGAGTTTGGATGGGACAGCTATAAGGCTGTCTTTCGTCAATACGAACAAGACCAACCAAAGCTTGACACTGATCAAGAAAAGATCGATTATTGGATCGAAACTTTCTCGCGTCAAGTAGAATACAATCTGGTGCCACTGTTCAAATGTTGGGATTTTCCAATTTCACAATCAACTATTGATTCCCTTAGCGATCTGGAAATTCCAGAAATTTCTGATGAATTTATCGATATGGCACCAGAACGTTATCAACTATAGATTTTTTTTTCCTAATGAATACAGAAGACACAACAGGCATACGTATCAATACATTTAAGTGAGCGATATTTCTGTATGATACATGCTTTATTGAACAATAAAAATCAAATAAAGTTCACACTTTGGCACTAGTCCTCAGGTTTTTCCTGACTGATTGTACGAATTTCAGATCATCTCTTGTGTATGACGGTATGGGTGTGGGATCAGGATGTAGGTGAGTCTGGGTCTAGAGTTTTTATGAAGAATAACCATGCACACCCACACTTACACCCTTGTGTACACATATAAAGAAATAAAAAACCTAAGCTATATAGTATAGATAGAGAATCACTAGAGGATTATAATGGTAGATATAGAATCAATTCATATCAATCTATATATCTTCCAAGACTTAGTATAATGTGCCAGTTGACATCTTGAAAAATTAATTGATCAAAGTTAAAGGATTAATAATCTTTCATCAGAGAATAACGATATTAGATTGAACAAAACTTATCAGATTAATGATTTGATATAAAAAGAAAGTTTGACTCCTATTTCACGGGGCTTATGATAACTTTGACATAGAGCATCATTTGAAAAATGTCGAGACAAGTGCACATTGTAAGAAAATTCATGTTGCTCCTTGATGGCATAAGCAAGTTTTCTTGGGAACTTGCCGCATGTAAGAAGCATAATATATTAACTTGTTGAATCGATATTTCAGTTTTTTTCTCCATTGATTGATGATGAAAATTTATTTATTGATAAAAGAATTTCAATAAATAAAACAAATGACAAGTAAGGAATGATGAATTGTGTTTCTATATGCAAATAGTTTAAGATAAACATTTGCCAATAAATATAATTTAAACATGTATTAAAACGATTTTAACGATTTACATTTGTTCTTGTCACTTGAGCAGGTAATGGTCCTACTCGATGTTTGAATATTGAAAATTTGAAAACAAAGTCTTTGATATGTTTTCGAAAGGTTTTAGATGCAAATAAATATATCCAAAAAGAAATTCCGTTAGTAAAATACGTAAGTAGAGTAAGAACAAGTAAAACAAGATATTCATATGCTAATCGTAATCTTGTCTTCAAAACATATTGTGTAGCCAAAATATAACAACAGTAAAAGCCTGCTGGTATACCACTGATCAATAAAACACACATCTGAATAAGCATCATTCGAGTTACTGCAGCATCTAATCTACGACGACGTCTTAAAAGTTGTTGTAAATTATACCAAGTCAAAAAAAATAAAGTGAATATGAGAATAATTGGTAAAAAATAATAACCAATTATAATCCAATAGGTACCGTAGAGACTGATTAAAGAGAAAGAACTAGTACAGACAAATGTTGTACTTGATGAACGAATGTGTATATAATATATAGGAAATGGTAAGAAAATAAGAAGCCAAATAATTGCTGTGCATAAAATCATTATTTGTGCTCGAATATGTGTGATTAATCGATGCCATTTGGCTCTTGGTAATGTTAAAAGAAATTGACCAAGAGCTGCAAAACAATTACACATAAAACTAAAACAACCACCCGAATAAGTAAACCAAGTACCGACTTTACACCAAAATAACCATCGATTCGATGGATCAATACCACTATATACTCGTATAACAGCTGAAAGAAGACCAATATTGATAAAAAAGAAGCTACCAACTGATGATCCAATGATGAATAAAGCATTTGGATGTTTATTCAAAGGTGGAGTACAAAGAAAAACTAAACAATTGCAAACATTTCCAATTGAACTTACAATAATAATTGACAAAGCGACAGTTTGATAAAGACGATCTCCAATAGAGAAAATATAAAGAGCCGTGGCTATATCAGAAGCCATTTTTAACTCATCTAAATAAACACTATACTTTAATGACACACAGCTCTAATGATCTCATCTTGGTCCTGAATTATTACATGTGCGTGACTAAAAAGACTTGTCAAGTCAGAGAAAAAGTGAACTTTTGACGAATGATGATTTAGATAAAAAAACAAGTCAACAATTTTTACCGTGCATTTTTATCAGTCATAGTAGAGTTGTTGAAGACAAAATAGAGAATATTAATCGATCTCGCCAATCAACGAATATCTTACAAGAACAAAGCATACACAAGTAAGATTAAAATTGCCTGTTTCTCGATATTTATCAAAAACAAGTTTTCGAAAAACATCATAAATGCGTAAAAAAGTGTCCATTTTTTTCTGAAAAAAATCTCTCTTTTGCCAATCCTTAATCTATTCTCAGCTTTATTTTTTTCGATGCCGCATTACGTGCGTGTCAAACTATAGATCTTATTAATTTCAATTAAAATATGCATTGACCTAGAAAAAAATGATTGCCTTTTTTTCTTCTAAAATAAGAAATAATTAATTATATTTGTAGTGCGTCAACAATTAATAAAATTATTCTTTTTATTTTCAAAGTTGTTCAACACTTAACCACGTTTTATCAATAGTAAAAAACAGTATAATTTGATTCTATTGAAGAGAAAATTTTCTACAGACAAAATCAAATATAATTATTTTTGAAAAACAAAATTATTTATGACCTTAAAAAATGTTTGTAGAGCCTGTCCATGGAAGATGTTATTCCGTCACGCTCTGTTTATAGTGAATGAGTAGTGGTGAACAGCTTTGCAATTTCTCATTTTGAAAAGCACAATTTTTTGTCCAAAACTGCAAAAACATTTGTTCTTAAACATTGAATCATTTGTACGTAATGAAACAAACAAAGCGTGACGGAATAACGTTTTGCGTGGACAAGCTCTGTACTCATAATGAAATGCATTTACTTGACATACGGAAGAATAAATGTATTTACCTTTGAAACTATGTTCAAAGTCTATTCTTTTTCGTGTGCTTGATTATATTCATATTTATAGATATGCCGTAATCATATTGTTCGTTGATAATCATCTGTGATTGTGCATTAAAATTTAAAAATTTCTTTAAGTCACATAAATTGGTATGGAACATCGATCTAAGATGATGTTTGAAAGTATTGTTTTGTAATTATGTATTGTCGAATTCTCAAGCTTAAAGGAATTAAAATGAAAGAATACAAAAAAAAGAACAATGCTTTGTGAAATTTAGTTTAATCGGAAGAAGTTTTTGAGATTTTTTTTCTTGCTTTTCGAGTTATGTTTCTTTGTTAAATTGACGCATATTTCTACAAAATACTGATACCTGATGAAATTCAACTAAAGTTATTGCAATTTTGGTTCTTCTAATTGAGAGACCTTTCCGCTTCATTTCAACTATTTATAGGTAAGCTGACCAAATATCAATCATTTGCTAATTATGAGCTATAATTCTGAATTTTATTTTTGCTTAAATAGTACTTGATGATGACGATGTTGACCTGCGTGCTGCGATGCAGTCGACGCCATTATTAATTGATTTCGATTCATTTGTATAAAATGTTGATGCACCAGTGAATTATTTTGTCGAGCAGCAGCTTGTTGTGCTTGCTGCTGCGCAATTTATTGATTTTTTCGACATGTAGATTCATATGATTGGATGATAGTCAGTAAGGTCAATCAATTGTTTTGTGGGGACTCTATGATCCATATTTGATGTATGGTTAGTAGAAATACGATGATGCATATCGAATAAGTGATGCATTGAGATGAAAAAGCATAACAACATATAACTGTGTAAACATCAAGTGATGGCAATATTTCAAGTTGATTAGAGTTGCGTATTTGGGTAAGTAACGAATCCTTTATCTATGCCATATGTTGTTACATTTAATCATACAACAAACGGTTAATTGACGATTTTGAGGAATTCACATTCATTGTCGAAGAAAATGGTGAGTGTAAGTTTAAAAGCATGTTTTTGCGGCTCCCCACTCCTTCCCATTACACACATTTAGTAATCGAGAATAACAGGCATTAGGTTTTTTAGAGTTTTTTTTTTGCAAAAATGATGAAGTTGTAATTTTGAAATATAGTCAAAATCATTGTTTGTTAGTTGATTAATATACAGTAGTGCATAAAGTCTGCCGTAAATATCATGAATATGTAAAATAGACTTGTTTGTCGATTAATTCAATGATTATAATGATAAGAATGTTAAATTAAAAAACGCGAATTAAAACAACAAGAAAAATAATGAGGGAATAATAACAATGAAAACAAATAGTAGGGCGCGCAAAGACAAAATAAACAATTTCCGTTTGAAATGCGGAAATTTGAAAGGTTCTTATTCTGATGTTCGATTATCGTGAAAAGCAACTGTAATCTATGAGAAATCTTTCATTTTACATATTTTTTGTGTTAACCAGTGATGCAAAAGTTCCTGCACAAATGTTGGTCCATTTTTCATTGACTAAAACATGGGTGAATAAACTCGAAAGCTCTTTCTAAATGTATATTCAAAGAAGTTTTATCATATTTTGTCTCTCAGTAGAGAGCACATCTTTAGTTAGGACTAAAATGTGACTGGTAAAAACAGCTCAAAGTAGTGGGCACGGAAACATGTATCTCTGGTGAGTATTCTTGTATTTTGTTCATTGCGACTGATAGTATGATGCTGCTCTTTTCTCAGTTGGATAAGCCATTCAATTCTCTACAAACTTACTAGAAAATCATACAGTATCATGTTAGATGGTGTGATCGACAATTTAACGAGCAATGGTGAAAGAAATAATGTCAAATCTGAATATGAAAACGATGATGAGCCAATAAAATTTTTTTAAGAATCGAATGGCGCCATTTTTGGATAAAAATAGTTGAAATGACAAAGTTGAACAGCGAGCAAAAATAATAAAAACAGTAATCTAAAAATGGCTAGAGATCAGATAGTGAGTTCCCTCCATGTATTTTCAAAGATTTCCATAGTGTTTTCTACATGATTTGTTGAGAATAGAGACGGTAATTTGTTATAAAAAAAGATAAACACCATCTCATGAAATGTACCGAAAGAAGTCGCAACATAATGTGGGTTCAGTACTTTCTTTGGTATTCGTTTCCTTTTACATATCACATATTATTTCAACATAGATTATGTACAAATACTTCTGATTTTGTTCACATATGCTTTAGTCGATCAAAAATGAACCGACATTTATTCAGAAACTTTTGTACCGCCTGTTTGTTTAACCCTTTCATCGTTAACTTTTGCTTGAAAATAAACAGTGAACTTTTCACGTTATAACCTTCAAATATTCACAAACATTTAAGGATAATATAAAAAATCTGCGACAAACATGTTTTATTATTTTATATAGCAAACAGAAGTTGTTTTTTTAATAGCAAAGCGCAACAAATGAGATCCTACAAAAGTGGTTTTTGAAATTCAAAGTTTCGCTTAAAAGTTTAGCAAGGTATGATATACACGAAAACATGGATCAACACAAAGTGCAACCTTGCAACTTGTACATTCGTGTGTCGATTTATTTCTTGTGCAATTAGATTCGTTTTGTGCATGACTACAAACGTAACAACATCTTGTTGGATGCTGCTCGTTTTCAGTTGAAGGAATCAAAGATGAAAAGTACCGTGATATTAACCGTACCGGTGTAGGTTCATTTGACGGTCTTTTCCTTTTGACTAAGTGCTCCGGGTGTGGGAATTGATGTAGTTGACGTAAATACCTACACCCACACCCACGCCTACCCGAAAGTAGTAAGAGTCCATTCAATAATAATGTTAATTACGGAGCGAATCCAGACTTATAATTCGACTAATTATGTAATTGATACAGAGGGGCATAACCGATATGAACATCAGAATCAGTACAATGGGCTTCCACCAGTGCAGGATGTTAGAGACGATACAGAGCATATAAAAAAACAGAGTTCAGGAATTGTAGTTGTCATTTTTTCCATAAAGTTTGCTTTAACGAATATATTCATCAATAACGGTGAAGGGACTAATTTGAAACCACCACGAGCTCTTGTAATGGTGCATGAGCAATGAAAAGGATAATAGTGATAGTATCTCCGTTAGATGAAGAATAGAGAGAAGAGATACACAAGAATAATTCCGCGATGTAACAAGAACGATCACACATATATATGTGTTCAGGAACCGAATAAAATATTTCATGGAACCAAAAGAGTGTACCTAGTCAATAAGTAAAAATATAACGAGAGAAATTCCAACATTTGATAAACTAGTAATCAGGAACATCCGCAGAGTCATTTGTCACTATATCGCAGCTGAGCACACCTTCTAGTGAAGAAGACATAAAAGTTCGTTTGAAGATCATCAATAGAATTTAAATAAGCTAGAAGTATGGTCTAGTTTAGTATATCGAACTAAAGTTTAAATCAAAAGCGTTTCTCATGAGGGTCACTGATTGCTAAGGAATTCAGCTAGATTGGACTACGTTAAGTGATAAACCTATTATGAGTAGGTCCCCTTCAAGAATCGATTGGCGAAAAGTAGATTATTATTCTTATTTTTTCATATGTATTAATCCAAGCGTTGATGTTAAGACTATGTCCACTCTCTAATTTGCTTAGAAGAATTTAAAAAATGAACTAGTCCAATCCTAGATCGAAGGATGAATATGAACCATGCCAGTTTGACATAGGCGAAAGTCAGATTAGGCTAGAGTAATGCTTAATTAAAATGTGAGCTTCATGACTTCTTTTCTTGAGAATGTAGGTGGATGTTAATGATTATTGAGCTTTTCTTTTTTCAACCAAGTCACGTCCACATACGATAGAATTCCACGTGCTAACGTCTGCGCACAGTACTCACTCTTGATAAGGCCTCATTTTAACGCGTTAACATGTGCGCTTTTTACCTTCAAAGAAGGTAGAAAAACAATTGTTTTCGTTGTAAAAAGCAAGTTTGTGAGAGTCATCGTCTTTCGACTCGCTTTCTTTTTCAAAATAATTTTGTTTTTAAAACCGTAAAAAGCGCACATTCTACCGCTTAGCAAACACACTTTCTTATCGATTTTGTTTGGTTTGGCAACTTTACGGTAACCTATGGTGACATGTGATGATTAACCAGTGTGTATAAATGATACATTTTTAGTGAAACAAGAGACAGTTTGATCATGGCATCATCCAAACAAGCTATGGATCATTATAAAGTTGTATATGAACTTTTGTTTGCATTGGAATCATGGACATATGAGCAGAAATACTGTTTACTACAAACGATCATCGATTGGACAAGTCAATTCGAAAAATCAATGCCAGAACAGTTGGAAAAGAACCTATGCTATTTACATGAACTTTTAACACGTGATATCGTCACTGTACCAATGTTGCCAGTAGATAAGATTCTTCAAGTAATACAATCAGGTGAAATTCCATGTGAAGTATGGCTCGATTATCTTCACACTCCACTTCTATCTGAGTCGAATAATAACAATAATAATCCAATATCGTTCGATTTCGCACCAGCAATCATCCCAAAAGCAGCTATGACTATGGACTTGACACCATCGACACTTTTTAATTCCGCTTCATCCCCACAGCAACCTCAATTGAATAATCAAAACAATAGGTACTGTTTACTTTTTTCCAGATTCAGATCTTATTATAAAGAGATGATATGTTGCTTCTTCTTTTAGTATGGTCGACCAGCCATCCCTTAATGATAGTTATGTGACTCATCAACTTCTTTCATTTGAACCATGTTCAACCACTGCAATAGACCCATTTTTGTTTGATGTAGTTGAAAAATCACCAGATGATGATCGAAGCCTATTGAGTGCCATTCTTGCCGAATTATCTGAACTAGATTGGGACTATTACGCAATTCAATCACTCGAGCTGATGTTCAATAGTTTACAAATACAAAATGTCTCAGTACTGAAAACAGCGTTACTCGTTGTTAAAATGATTTTAACCAATGAAATATCATTTCCATGGGATATTGAACGAATTGTCAACGCAATTACTATGCATTCAGAACTTCAATGGATGGATGAAGTGACTAAAATTATTGACGAAAAAGGTAAATCTAAATCAGTTTCAATGCTTCTTCAAGAACTAGCTCAGGAAAATTCATCTTTGGATATAACCGACTTGGAACAACGATTTCGAATGGTGATGAAACATTACGAAACACAAATATCTCGATGGAAATCTTCAGATATTCGGCAACGTCAGGTGAACAACGACGAGCTTCATACGATTGCTGTCATTGTTCAAGCAGCACATCTTCACGAACAATATCGTCCAAGAGATATTCAGATTCTATCTCTTCTTCTTCTAATTGAAAATCAACGTCAAGGTCAAGGACGATTAGCACAAATACGCACTGGCGAGGGCAAATCCATTATTGTGGCTATGTGTAAGTTCAAAATTTAAACTCATGTTGGATAATATCCCACTATTGAGTTCTCAGTAATTCAATCTGAATTCTTATTCTTATATATAACTTTTAAGTTCTATCAACTACGTTATTCCCATTCTTCAAAGGATAAAATTAACTGTCTATATTTCTGTATTTGTATCTTGTCAAAAATGTTCATTAGATAACAAATATGTTTTTCTCAGATCAATAAAAGTCATTAACGATGTAAGATAGTTTTAAGTGCATGAAAAAGGTGATAATATCATCTGATGATGCTAGACCGAAAAATTCAAAAAGTTTTAGACAAAAATATATTTATAATTATTTGTAGGAAAATTTATCTTCTATAAAACTTATTAATGATTAGATATTTACCAATACAAATACAATTCGCTGTTGAGATCAAACATGTTGACTAGTATTAATATGGATGGTAATGAAATTAAATATTGATATTGACCGTAAAGGTATTTTCAGTCATTACTATGAATTCGCACCTAAGAGAAAGCATTGTTGTTTGTTCAAACATTTTCATTTCAATGCTTGAAAAGTCATTGAAAGAATGTCTTTATTGATTTCCCACCAAGTAATATATCAAAGAACTTATAACGTCATCGGGAAGATTTATGTAGCTAATAATTAAAGAATCGTTTTCCTCGCACTCCATTGGATGAGGGCTATAAAAGTTCGTTGCAAAATAAATTGTCCTCAACTTGTCCTGTAAATCGCTCAAATTTTTCATCCCAAAACTAACCATTTAGAACTATTTGAGAGTAAAATCAGAACATAAGTATCTTGATTTGCGCAAAGTTGATGTTGGCTCTCGTGCAATGACTCATCATACATGATAATAATGCATTGAAAACAAGCAGAGAATAGCCTAACCTTATCAATATCAGTCGAGACTCAAAGTTGCGGCTGTCGAAACTGATAAGTTTACTTTTTTCTGGTAACTATTCTTTCTAGTTCCGTTGAGCTCTGATCGATTCTATTTAGTTCGGAAGAAATTCTTGCAATTGAGTTTTGAAAAAAGTTTTAACCGAACGTGTTCGATTGAATTTAAAAGCGTACAGTTCAGAATTCAGCCAAAAGCCGTTGCAATACGTTTAAAAAAATTGTGTCGAAATACGGATGTAAAGAAGCCGCCACAAATCAGTGTGATCGGTCGGTTGCAACTGGACAAAAATTTAAAGAAAAAGGTTTATTTTTATTTAATGTATCTTGTATTTTTCTACTGTAGTGGCTGTTTATCTTTCCCTTCCTCCATTGAACAAACGTGTCGATATAATTACCACTTCAGAAATTCTTGCTCGACGTGATGCCGAGGAATTTGCATCCTTCTATCAAATGTTTGATCTGACGGTTGGACACAACTGTTATGATCGTCCTGACAGCCCAAACTACAATGTTCACATCATCTACGGAACGGTCAATCATTTTGCTGGTGATCTACTACGCACTGAATTTTATTTGCAAACCGAAGTACGTGCTCACAGACCTTATGAAGCGGCAATTGTCGATGAAGTTGATAGTATGTTTATTGATCAACATCAGCATTACACACAATTAGCATCACTTACACCTGGATACAAATCATTAAATGTTATCTTGCGATTTATCTTTGCATTCTTTCAAAAATTCAATATTACCGAAAAAAATGAATTTGTCATTCGACAACCGCATGGATATGTCAAAGGTGAGAAAATTTTCTTTAATTACTAAAAAGAACAACTGAGTTTGAAATCGTTTGATATAGTCGATGCTCTAACATTTATTCAAGACAAACTGAATAATGATAAACTTATTCGTTTTCCGGCTTATCGTCAATCCTATATCAACACTAAATTACCAAAATGGATAAAGGCTGCAAAACGGGCACTCTATGATTTACAACAGGATGTTGACTATGTCATTAGTAAAGATGGACGAATAATAGTGGTAGATTATGCAAACACAGGTGTGTCCCACTTGAATATGAATTGGAGTGATGGCGTTCATCAATTTCTTCAATTGAAACACAATTTACGCATGACACCCGAACGTATATGTGATTCATTCTTTTCCAATGTCACTCTTTTCAGGCGATATCAACCACATTTATATGGTGTAACGGGAACATTGGGTGGTACAGATGCACGAAATTTTATCCAATCGATCTATCAGATTGATACTGTCATTGTACCCAAATATGTTGACAGTGTGTTTCATACTTATTCAAGTAAGTTCAATTGTGTTAGTACTTTTGACGTATTAAAAATTCTATTAATATCATGCGATTTCTGCTGACTTTCATTAGTTGAAGTCTTCCATCGTGCGATACACTTTGTAAAGATTTGTTTTTCGTAAACAGGTCAATTTGGTCGAGATCGTAAAGATTGGTTGAATAAAATTCGAGTAGAATGTAATACAATAGCCATTACTAATTGTCGAGCTGTTTTGATTATTTGTCAAACAATTCAGGATGCTGATGACGTTCAGTTATCTTTACTTTCTCAACATCCTCGCTTGAACCTGTATCTTCGCAGTGATCTAGCTGAACATAATAAACCAGAACTAGTTCATTCAGGTGATGTGATCGTAGCTACGAATCTAGCTGGACGAGGTACTGATCTGAAAACAACCACACAAATCAATAATCGTGGTGGTTTACATGTAATTGTGACTTTTATGCCAAAAAATTCACGTATTGAGCAGCAAGCATTTGGACGAGCCGGACGACAAGGTCAACCGGGCTCAGCTCGATTGATTGTCTATAATAGAGATTTCGCGACAACATTGGATAAGATCGATGATGTTGAAACAATCAATAGATGGAAACAATTTCGGGACCAAGAAGAAACAAATGAGATGAATGCGGCTATAGAAGAAGTAAAGCGTATTGAAGCAAAAGATCGTCTTCTCGTTCGTTTTCTTGATCTTGCTCATTCCAAAAAGAATGATCTTCCATTTAAACACGATGCATTCAAGCCAGGCTTCAGTTCATTTCGTGAACTATGGGCTTCATTTTGTGATGAAAATGAAAACACAGCTGAACAGTCTTTTTCGAAATTTGCTACTGACATACAACAGCGACTCGATGCCGCCATCACTACGTTGAAACATAATGTGTCATTTGAAAACGACAGATCATTATTCATTATGCTACAAGATCAGAAACGATCTCGAGCTCAATATTTAGCTGATCTTCAATGTGAAGCAGTCAGCAAATTGATTGCTCATCCAAAATATTTTATTTATGCCGGATTTCATGCCATGTGTATGAATGAATTAAGTGATAAAAGAGAACGAGCATTGAAATTATACGAACGAGCATTAGAATTAGATGATCAAGATTTTATTGCTCATTACAACACAATACCGTGTCATATTGCAAATAATCAATCATCGATCAATCGAGTTATACAAGCATTGGATGAAACACTTCGCTTACTTCATCTAGAGATTGAAACACGTAAACTTATTCAGATTTTTCATGATCCACCAATGTCACAGAATACTAAAACAGAAGTAAGTGGAAATAAAATGAAAATTATTGTTGACAGCATAACTCTTATTGTAGGCAAACGGTCCTGTCAATCATCCGATTCTTACCGAATTGATCTATCTTGAAATCGTTCAAGCAAATTTGAAAAATAATCGTGAACAATTGACACAATTCAACGAGGATAAACATGAAATATGGTGTCGTTTCGAGCATTGGCCAGAAACATTAGCCTGTTTAAAAGGAACAAAATTTGAACCGTTAACAAACGATATTAATGTTGAACGAGAAGAATGGCTTGCCGAAGGATTAATGTGGCGATATGTGTTTATCATTGAACAGAAACGATGTTGGTGGAAAACTGTTTTTATATTTGTCATGGGAGTCGCACTTATCGTTGGAGGAGCTTTCTTATGTACTGTAGATCAGTATCGTTTAGGCACATCGATGATTCTTGATGGATTGATCGATGTTTATAAAGCTATTGGTAAGTTATAAGAAAAAAAAAATATTAATATTTTGAATAAAGGAGAAAACTCCAATGAATTTTAGCGACAAAAATTACATCCGATTTTGATCTGACCGATTATTTTGAATCGACAGTAACCAAATATGGCAAAGATCTATTTTGTATCGGTGTATCCTTGCTCAAATCTCTTCAACCGATTGTTTCAATAGAGGACATCAAAATGGTGGGCGTCGCTGGTGATACTGTTTCCCAAGTGGCCACTAATAAATTGTCTGTAGAAACTGTGACACAAATAGCTATAGAAGGGTTGGATATTGCTGGAGTTGATAAAAATATCATTAATTTTGCTAAACAACTTCCAGAGTGGATAAAAGATGCTCAAACATTGCTCAATAGTGATCTAGAACAAATGCTGAGACAAGGCATATCAGTCAGTGTTGATCGATTCATGGGCTTATTTAATGAAAAATCATTGTTTAACGGCAAAGAAAAAGAAATGTTCGATCTTTTACATCATCGCATACCTGTTGTCCAACATTCAACCACCGGCAATAACCAAGACATTCTTTTACATGCACTTAATATTATGAATAAAAATATTAATAAACTTCCACTCATCGATATATTTGGCATAGTTCTACAAAATGCTCTTGAACGTGTTATTAAACTTGAACAAACCGAAATTCGTGATTGTTTTACAACAACGATTAAACAACTCAACTCAACTGGAGGCTTCGACAATCAAACGTATAAACTCATTACCAATATTCTACAGTCGTCGTCTGATAAATTTTCTATTTTTGAAAAGACCAAACATCAATTGAATGCTAATGTTTGTCAATTGCTTGGGCCAGTTATTGAACGTGAGAACCAATTTAAGAATGATATTGATCGTTTAACTAACAATCATCAAGCAATCGAAGATTATCGTCAAGCTTTCAATACTGTTAATGCTACTTTTTGTACAGCTTCAACACAACGATCTCGGCTGCAAACGATCATTGAGCAGCAATCGAATTCAGGTGGTAGATTATTGAAAAGAGCAATGAACGACTTTATAAGTGCAGTAAGCAAGCAAGAACATGGAATAACAAATACGAAAGCAATGAAGTTACTTAAAGAGTATCTCGACCAAAATGTCATACGACCTCATCTAGAAAATGAATGTGAACAACAAATGGATGAAATGAATACCAAACTTGCCGATAATTTTGCCGAATCATTCATTTATGTACAAAAACAACAAGGAAAATTTCAACAGCAATGAAAATAGTTATAATTTTTGTTAGTTAATAAAGAAAAAAGAGAATCTATCATTCTGTTTGAAAATGTGGATGTAGATAGAAAAGAAGTTACATTCTCACTCACAATAATCCTCACTGAAGGATCAGGATGCGTAAGTATGTGAGGGTGTGGATGTGGGTGGGGTGTGGATAAAGAGAACATACACCCACACCCACACTCACAATAGAATATACATACACTTTATGAAAATTAATTTAGCAAATCAGACATGAGACGAATCACAAAAATGTAATCTTTTTAAAGCCCCTCCTCAGAAACGAACTTTTTATTTTTCGCCGTAGTTCAACCAAAATTTCAGAGAATATTAGTCTTCACTAGAATAGATTATAGTTAAAATATCTCCTCAAATCTATGAGTTATTCACGAATTATTATCTATTTATTGGTCAAAAGTACCCTGAACGTTGGCAAGCTTTTTACAATCAGGACATGCGCTCACATGGCGGGGCTGTTTTTAAATTGTAAAGTACCCTTGGCGCTAGATTCTCATAGAGCCCGATTTTCGAAATTCTCTTTGTTTGTTTTATAAAAACTCTTCTCCGAAAATTTCTCGAATTCATGACCAAAAAAACGCTGAAATAATTGAGACTATTTGAGCTTTTTATTTCACCAATAGAGAAATTCGAAAATCCGGCTCCGTGAGCATCTAGCCCTAACTGCCTTCTATGTAACTTAATAAAAAGAAACTTATCATTTCTATGTCGAGTCGTTATGGAGAAAAACCTGCCTGCGTAAACTGCATGCTCGAAAAAAACTGATTTTAAGAAGAACGGAAAATAAGTATTAAAAATCGATTTTTCCGAAAATCATCTGATTTGTATATCAATGTTCAAGACAGGCTATAAATTTATGATCTTAATATTAAGTGTTCATAGTCTCTTAGTGATTAGTATTTAAAAAAAGAACTTTACGACATACTGATGGAAAGAGAGAGCAGCCTAAAAAGTCGAAAAAGCTTGAAAAAAAAAGTGAAAATTTCTGGAAAAATATGATAGCATGAGCCAGGTTTTAGACGATAAGTTCATCAGAATCAATTCATTTTTCGATAAAGCATAAATATTCTGAAAGGGGAGAATTCGGTGCATCTTCCTATCATAAAACTCCAACCTTGAATCTTCTCGGAAAAAATAGATTTTTTGAGGGGTGTCCTCCAGTTTTACAATCTAATTTCGACATAGCCTGAATACATAGGATATTGTGCAGTTGTTCTGGATTCAAACAAGATCTTCGATCAGTTAATGTAAGATTGGCAATATTACACTGCCGTTCTATACCAGCACTAATTGCTGGAATTGAATGTATTTGTCTTGCTAAAATTGATAAGGAAAAATAATACAAATGAAATCACCCAGGCAACCAAGTTTAGCCTGGCCTGCCTGCAGACCAGGCCAAAAATTTTCCGGCCTGATCAGGCCAGGCCGGCAGCTCTGACCCACACCCACACCACCATGTTCACCTGTTGCTGTTGGCTCTTCCAGTAGTCTGTTTTCAACGACTGCTCTCATCACCTCATATACTTGTAAAACGTACTCATGGACGTCGCCTAAAACTGGTACGGCTACTCTGACTTTTCAACTTCGTAATGATCCCCATTATTGGTACGTCGATGATGTGTCAGTGAACAGCGGAGCTGTTCAAATGCTGATGAATGGAGGCGTTGGCTCAGGCTCTTTATCACCTGGCTGGATAAGAACCACACTGAACGGAACTTGTTCAAGTCCCGGAGGTACAATCAGCAGTATTTCACCACGAACAGGTAGCTATAGCCTTCGAGATGGAAGTATTGGGTGTGCTGATCAAATCAGGCAATCCTTTGCAGTTACAACAGGACAAGTGTATGTTGTGAGTTTTTGGATACAAGTAGGTGGGAATGATGCAGAAACCTTGGCTTCTGTGACATTGTCCTAAATCATATATTATCAAATATGACTGTCTCTTTCAAAAAGAGTATTTTGTTGTGAAAAATAGAAACTAGAAAATCTAAAATTTAATAGAGAACACTGACTCATGGTATAAAACTCATTAAGCATTTCTCTTCAAAATAAATAAAGTACTCAAGATATCAAAAATAAAATCAATGCAAATCTAACAGAATCTACAAGACATACTTGTACATCTGTTTAATTAAATGTTTCAAATAGCTAGCGAGAATGAGTAAGAATTTGGACGAAAAGAAGACTTACATTCATATTTTGCTACAGACATTTGACTAGTCCAGGTCTAAATGCAATTGCGAATGTTTAGTCTCGAATGAAACATGATTTTCAGAGATCTCATCTAAGTTTTCGACAATGGTCGAAAGAATTCGTTGAACAAATATAGAAAGCTACACCTTTAAGTGTAATATGTTGGTGCATCAATACATGTAGAAATGTTTATCGTCGAGTACTCATAAGCAAAGATTAATACAGTGCAGCATCATAGATGATTTGATACATTATCAGAATATGTGACATCTGCCATGAAACTGATTTTCATGTATACTACAAGTTTGAAAACGAGCATGGGTGCAGGTGTCAGCATCGCTAAAATATAGACCTTCACCCTCTCATCCTGCATTTAGCCCACGAGGAAACAATATAATGGTTAACTGCAAAGATGCAACATGATTAATTTAGATACGTTGTGTATTGCTATCTTACGTTGAGTGATACCGTGTTTCGTGCCATTACCGTACTCTAACGATAACATGTATGATAAATAACGAAAAACACATTTTCGACGATTTAAATTTAAAAAAGGGCCATGATTCTACATCTACATATATTCTTTAAAGCAGCTTGATTCGTAGGAATTCCGATTTATTGCATTTAGACATAGAATAGATATATGGTTCAGAGTCAGAAAATGAACCAATTTCTAACCAACTTTTGAGAACCTGAGCCGATCTGAACAAAACTCGAAACCGAAAGTATCGATTCGATTAGGACTCAGATGTAGATTTGCATAAAAATGTGTAGAATCGTCATAAAGTGTTGCACGTCAGTTCATTCGGAGTGGTAGTTCATGGCAGATTTCTCCGTAATACATGTCCACGATAACTTAGCTTGAAAAAGCGAGATAAAGTCCCGCACACTTTCGTTACTTGAATGCTAATGCCATCAAAAAATAACAAAAATCATGCTGTGGTTTCCGTCAGATGGAAGTAAGTTACATAAATAAATATCAAGTTCATATATCACGAAATAACAAAGGAGATTATGGCTCTATTCCTTTTGAAAACCAATAATATATCGGCTCTACATGTTTTTCTATTTCTCTTGCTCTTGATATCCATTAATAACTAATGGACAACAGCTGTTGACTTATACCCATTGTAAATCGAGTAATGAAGGTTGCCCAGCAGATACAAATTGTTAACCAAATATTTTCCAATGTTGGCCGATCATGAGGACAAATTTTAATCGTCCTTTTCGTAACAACAGCGTTAATATTGAAGATTAACAATAGAGAAAGAAAAATATGACAAATGAATCATTTGCTACAAAACATTCTATCAACTTTAAATGCGTATTTCAAAACGGAATAAATATCTTTCTGCAATGAAGATTGTCTCGGTTCAGTATAAAAGCAATTATATACAGGTGAGTATGATATTTAATTTTCTTACCAAGAAGTAACTGAATAGTACGTTTATGTATGAACTTCTGACCATTTACTTATTGTGCAATGCTTACCTTAAATTTATCTTTGTATCAAGATTAGTATACTTGATTGATTTACATTAGAGTACACTCCATGAATTTTTCTATTTCTACCGATTCTTGATAGTCCGTTAGAAACTTGCAAGTCAGAAACTATATACCAATTTTGTTCGAATGGAAACTTGCGATTATTAAGAAAAAACAAAATTCCTTGCCAGTACGAAAGAAGAGAGTTGCTAAATGATGAAATCGATGCTCTGTCGAAATTGAAGTTATGAGTTGCTAAATAGTCCATTGTAATGTCAGAAGTCGATTACTGTTCAAATTAGCTATTTAGGCTTCATTGTGACTATGCCTGATTCAGGACCAGATATAATTGATCTGCTATAACATGATGCATCCACTGTTTATACAGAAATTTTCTTCCCCTTCTTTAGCTCCTTTAACTTGACTAATATATCAAATGAAAGCTCTTTCTTCTCTATTAAATGGCATATATTTGTATATACAACATAAGACTGGCCATTTCGAAATTTCCTCCTATTGATTTGTGAAAGCAGCGATCTAGTTTGAGTTATGCATCATTCGATAAGGGTTAATAGAAAACTGAAGTCAGCCAAAACGTCCATATAACTGTAAAGAGTCCCTTCTAAGTTTTTTAAAAATCTAGGAAAATACAAAACGACAGATCAATAAGTAATAAAAACGATGTTGATTTCGAATACATCATTTGCTTTTATGGAAAACCTCACTATGATGATAGATTAAGACATTGTTAGTCAAAAACGACAGCTTGTGTGACTTGTAAATATAGTACGTTCGTCTATAATGCCTGTAGATCGCTGCTTTCAGAGCTCAATAGGAGAAAATTTCGCCATGTCTATCTTTATGCTGTATATACAAATATATGCCATTTAATAGAGAAGAAAGAGCTTTCATTTGATATATTAGTCAAGTTAAAGGAGCTAAAGAAAGGAGAGAAATTTTCCGTATAAACAGTGAATGTATTACGTTATAGGAGATCAATAATATCTAGTCCTGAATCAAGCACAGCTACAATGAAGTCTAAATGTCCAATTTGAACGGTACTCTACTTTTGACATTAGAATGGACTATTTAAGAAATAATAGCTTCAATTTCGAGAGAGAGTCAATTTCATCGTTTATAGGCTTCCATCCTTTTTTCAGTCAGCCAAAATTTGATTGAAAAACCGAACAAAAGGAAAATTCATCAACAGCTTTTCATTTATTTCATTCGCTGCTTTCAATGCGTCCGATGGAAATCTATCGGGTTTTCGCTACTTAGTTGAGATAAATATCATTCTATATGAGTCCTTCTTTGTTGGCTCCAACGATTTTCGGTCTTGTTCACAAATACGGATATTTTTCGTACAATAATCAACTGTAAATTTCAAGGACTCGAATTCATTCTGCTGGATTAGCTTAACCAATTAAATGTTTTCCTATATGAATAATTAATTTCATGTCGTCAGATATCTCATGAACACAAGGTGTGTGTTGAATAATTGCATCAATTGATTATTCTTAGAATTGATGTTTTCTTCAAACCAACGCTCAATGCATTTGAACCCTGTTCAGTTATATCGAAATACAAAACAAAATTGCGCTTATAACCAATAGTATTTGTGAAAAATACATGAAACTGAATATATTGAAAGCTCTTTTTTTCCGATATGATGTGCTCACAACTTTTAGAAGATTTCTATAAATAAAAGTATTCTTTATAAATTCGGTATTAAAAGAAAACCAATCAACAATAGGTTGTTTTGCAATGCGCACGTACTCCCTTTTCTGTATATTGTCTTGTTCATTTTCACTTCTCTTTTGTCTTCAAACAGCTATATGCATCCATCTCATCATAGCTGGCAGATTTTTCATGAGTGACACAGTTCTGAATTTTTATTAATCTTCTACAATCTGCACATCTGGTAGAAATGCAAAATAACCTTTAATATCTATGGCTGCCTCTTTGGGCATTGGATAATACCACATAGCATCCACAAATTCCTCATCACCTACAACGATCGTCATATAAGACGCCACACCTTTCCAAGGACATGTGGTATGAGTAGATGAATCTTCGACATATTGTCTGTTGATAGAATCAGGTGGAAAGTAAATATTATTGTCGAATTTAATTGCTTTATCACTATCTGCTATAATAACACCATTCCACATAGCCTTGACTCTTTTGCCAAAAGGTATGGCTGTTGATGATTCAGGTCCAACTATCGCAGAAGTACCCATTATGAAGATAAAGAAGCAGAATGCACTGATCATGCATACATGAGCGATTACATACATTATACTATGAATTATGAAAGAAAATATGACGTATCTATGTTTTCGAAGCAGTGAAAGTAAATGTAAGATAGTGCACTCAAAGCAGTTTTATATCATGACTTGATATAATCTTTTGTCTGTCATGAATATAACTAATCCTTCCTATCAATAGATCAAAATAAAATGTCAAAAAAAAACTAAAAAGTTTTGTTTTAATTGTGAGATGAAGAAAAAGAAATGTTGTCATCAAGCAATTTTGTTCTTGATAATCAATCATTAATGAGAGCTGTCATGAGATTGAGTTCAAATTAAGCTGAAAGGAATGTTAAAATTTATCCAGGAAAGATTGAACAACATGATGTTATTTGTTAGAGAAGGCCTCTCGTTTGTGATTTATTTTTAACGAAAATTTCGTTTCGAGCCGTGTTGATTCCTTTGGGTTATAGGTAAAGAAAAAGGACACAATGATAAAAATAACATTTTATTTTTTTAATCCCGTTTTTCAAATCTTATTAAGCTTGTTGTGTAATAGTAATGCGCTTCATTGAAGGCTTGTAGGTTGTCTCTCTAGGGATTTGCACAGACTACTCTACTACAATGATCGATCAAGCTATCGACTACGATTTGCAAGAAAAAGAATGTCAAAGAGCGATGATTAACAGTTTCTTTTACTTGATTTCAGCCGAAAACAAAAAAATACTTTGATCTTCGATATCAATGCATTCCAGTGAACAAATTCGTGTGCTCGCAATTCATCGAAATATCATCGTTTCTGATTCAAGAAAATTTTCTTCCTATTCGATTTCATTAACTTTATTATCAGCGACCATTCTCACAAAAATTCGTCACTAAAAATAGTTCATCAATCGAAAAACAGACTGACCTATCTGTTTTGAAGAAAAGATAAATAGAATCTGCTTGCACTCCACGTTTGCTTTTCAGCAATCGATTGTTTTGTCGAGATTTGGAAAAATTAAAAAATTAAAAAAAATTTCTTTATTATTTGTGACTTGTGCCAAAAGAATTAATTTTAAGAAATGCAGATTTTAATTTGCCAACGCGTTTCATGTTCTTTATTGAAATATTAAAATACTCATCAGGGCTCTGCATTACATATTTAAGCACAAGATAAAAAGCAAAAAATATTGCGTAAAAACAAATAAAAACAACAAGACCACCAAGAAAAAAATGCAACTTCTTGAAAACATGAAAAAGACCACCAAGAGAAAAAAGAAAAGTAACTTCTCGCAAAAAAAAAAGAACAAGACCACCAAGAGAAAAAAAAGAGGTAAAATGCAACTTCTCAAAAAACCGAAAAAAATCGATAAGTCCAGGAATAATGCAAAAGGTCCGAAGAAAAAGAGTGCAATATTGACAAGTTTCCATTTTGAATCTATTCGAATTAAAATATGACTTGCGATTACGTATATAATCAGTTATGTTCTAATTTTTATTTTTATAAAGTTGTTTGTATTAAAATCACTGTTTTTTACAATAAATGAACCTATTTTCTTTTAATTTGATTTCATATATTGTAAACCGATTTTATTTTGATCAAATTTCTTATATGGCAACGAATATAATTCTTTGTTGTAAGCTACACATTCAAAATAAGATTATGTAGATAACCAGTCATTTTAATTTTATATATAACCAGATTTTCATAATAACATATAACCAATCAATTTTATTTTTATACAACCAGTCATTCTAATTTTTATAACCAGAAATTTTAATTATAATTTTTAACATAATCAGATTGAATGAATATTATTTATTACGTATTAGTTGTTGCTGTAAATTCTTGACATTACGAGTACCTAAGACCGGTTTTATTTCATTTATTGGAGATTCTATAAAGTATTTGTTCCAAAGTGCATGAAATTTAGTCGGAAATGTTTTCATATTTAAAAAGTATGTAAAATGAATGAATATTGTTTTGCCATAATCAATTGGAAATTTTTCTTTCTTATCTAAATAAATTAATTTCTCTCGTAATGTTTTATAATTGCTTGTCGATAATAGCTGCATCAAATTATGCATTTGAAATACTCTGCTGAATTGTTTCTCTATAAACTCACCAGGATATTTATTTAATAATGAAGTCAGTCTTAATTTTTCACGTTTATTTAAATATGTTGCAAATGTTGAACAATATTTAATCGCACGAATTAACATAGCATATGGAATATTCATTTTCATATGCATGTATTGGATGAACACCATTAAATGGTAAATAATATGCTTCATAGGATGGTTTGTGATAAAGTTTTGTAAACAATTCACCATTTTTATTTTCTATGTATAAGTCAAGAAAATTTGTTGAATGACCAACTTGAGCTTTTAATTTTATAATCAAGTCTAATTCATTCCATCGATTAATTTGTTTAGAAAGATGTTGAATCGGCCAATTAATAATTATGAGAATATCATCAATATATCGTAAGTAGAGTCCATTGCTATTGTTCACTTGTTTAACAATATCTCGTTCATAAAAGTACATATAACAATTAGCAATTGTTAATGTTAATGTAGAACCCATAGTACCAACATGTACTTGATGAAAATATTTACCATTCTAAGAAAAATAATTATTTTGTATTACGAATCGACATAATCTAATTATTGTTTCAGCTTTTCTATTACCAATTTTTTTTATTTTAAAATAATCTAATAGTTTTTTAATTGACATTATACCTTCTGTTTGGGGTATCATCCTATAAAGAACCATAACATCCATTGTACATATTAAGGTTCCTTAACGTATATTTCGTTTTGACCATTCATGCAATTGTTTAATAACTTCAGTTCCAGAAGTAACAGTTGTGTTTGATGCCATTTTATTAAATAACGGTCGAAGTAATTCGTCGAGAAATTTTGATACTTTTATAGTTGGATGTTTTAGACCAGAAATAATTGGACAAAGTGGAGTAACAGGTTTATGAGCTTTTGCTAAATAATAAAGATGTGCTAATTCCATTTCATTTGATTTAATGCTTAATTGTTCATATTGTTTCCGTGTAATCTAATTTGTTAATCTTAAATTTAATAAATATTTATTTGTCCGGTCAATTAAACTTGGTAATGGATCATTCTGGTGTAAATATTTATATGCTTCAGTTTTTTCCATATATTCATCAGATTTTTTGTGATAATTTTGTAATTTATCTAAATGAAAAACTTTAGATTTATCTGCTTTTTGAAGAACTATACTAGTTGAACGAAGCTTGTGTTTTACCCACTTGACCAATCTACCATAATTTTTCTTTTTTCAGCAGTAATTGGACATTTACTAATTTGATATTGATTCAATTGAATCGTTTCTAATAAATTATCATATGGAATTCTTTCACGTTGTTGTTTATATTTTCGATTTAGTTTACAAATAGGTGTATCATGTAAGTTTTTCAATATAACATCCATTTCGGCTATAAATATTTCAACTGATCGTCCGGCGCTCACTTTTTTTTCGAAAATTCGTGCTTCAATTTTACCTTTTAACATAGTCAACTCAGTTGTACATTGTCGAGAAGCCGTTGGTGGATCATTATAAATCAACCGAGGACCTAATTTTAATAATTAATATTCTTCCTCGGTTAACTTTACTTGTGCTTCATTAATTACAGTTGGAGCGAGAAATCCTCGCCCAACGATCGTGTAAGAGTCGGAGCAACAATTTCTTCTTGCTCGTTGAGTTCGCCCTCGATTCGCTGTTC